TGAGGTAAAAAAATTCCGTAACTTAGAATATTGTAAGTACTTTGTGATTGAGTTTAATTTGTATTAAATATTATCTTCATACATAGTGGGCTGTTATTTAATATCCACATTTTGTAGCCCAATTATAAAAACAATGTTTTTCCATAAAGTTACTAGATTGTTCATTTGTGTGCCATAGGCCAACATTTCTCAAAGCATTGTAGGGGGATTACCGTTACAGCAGCCTCACCTGGGATGACTGCTGCCCGTGCAGGGTCTTAGCTCCCCCCCAGACCTCGGACTGACCTGCGGCGGATGCGGGCATAAGCTGCAGTGTGAGTGAACTCCGTAGGGGTTCTTGGGACCACAAGCGCCCGGTAGCTCAGGCCATTGTGAGGCCTCCTGTTAGTGAGATGGGCAGCAGTAGTGTCCCTGTCCTCCCCGTGTCTGGTGTGTTTCCTCATAAGGTGGGCATTGATCAGAGCCCACCTGGGCATCCTCTCGTGCGTGGCTCATCTGGTCTTGTCAGCGCAGTCAGAGTGCTTGCGTGGACGATGTCCATGGGGGGCGGTAAGACAGGGCAGTTTGATTATAATTGACTTTTTAGAAATTCCATTTCTAAAGTGGGTGGTATGAGTAATAAATTGTGAGCTTAAAGACAACGTTTGATATTCTATTTAAGCATTTTATATGATGCTAGGTAACTTTTTTCTATTAATATTTTCTTATATGAGAATAAAACATTTTGAGGGGAAAATTACAAGTAACCCAAAAGAAGAAGGGAAAAAAACTCCACAAGCTCACCTGTCCAGATGCAACACCAGTTAACAGTTTGGATGTTGTTCTCAGAATCTTCTTTTTTATTATGTCTGTATGTTGGAGTGTATATGTGCCTTTATGTATTTAAAAAAAATGAGATCATTCATATATATATTGCTTTCTTTATGGTCTGGTTTTTTTTGCTTAATAGTATGTCATGAACATCTTTACGTATCAGTATATATGCTTCTATAATTTTTTTAAAAGGCTACATAGTGTTCATTGATGTGAATATACAACTTACCTACCCAGTTTTCTACTGTTGTATTTAGGTATATATAAAATGTATATATAGTACATATATATATTTTCCCCCCGAGAAAAGGGGGTGGATTGTAAGCCGATGGTCAGCAGTACGCGAGCTGAGTGAGGAACCAGCGTGTGGAGGCCTCACAGTTTAGCACAGGCACATTGTCTGGCCCCACTTTCTCTCCCCTCTGCCCGTTGCCTGGCTCCCCAGGCCCTGAGCGGATGGGGCTCCGCTTCTCCAGAGACTAGACCTTGTGACATACGTGAACTGTTGGAAGACCTTCTGTAGTGCCCTAGCATGTCAGTATACTCTAGGGCTCCACCAGAAAAGTGACAGTTAGAAAAGAAGTATACCTTCATTAGAATACTTTTCCCTATGTTCCCTAATATTATGGGATAATTTTTGCTCATGTAATGTGAAATATGCCCCAACTAAAATGGTTTTTACAAATGTAGATACAAGAGCTTTATGAAATATTGAAGAAAGTATTTATGTCACCTACTTCCTGTCTTTGGTGGTAGAGCCTCCTGAGTCTTGGATGACACTCTTAGGGTCTCTAGTTGGATTCCTGACCACAGGACTTGGCTGATCTGGCTCCACTGCCAGCTCCTCTGGGCCTTGGTCCTCTCAGAGCCTTAGAGGAGATGCTAGTACTTGTCTACATAGACTTGTGAAGATCAAATGAAACAATGTACATGAAAGTGTGTTGTAAACACCAAAGTTACCATGTAAATTTTAGGGGAAAAAAGCCTAAAAGCACCCCTGTGAATTTTAGAGTCCTTGTCTCACAGTGTTGGTGCCTCGTCCCTCCTCAGCTCATGTCTTATTAGAGGCGTCGCTGACCTGTTCTGAGCGCTTTAGTTCACAAGCAGTTCTCCTCTGACATTTGCAGCACAGTCAGTTTCATTTCCTTACGATCTGTAGCTGTGCACAGCGCTGGAAATAGCAAGGATAAATACAGGGTCAGTTGGATGACTACTTAATTATGGAAATGTTGAGGGGGAGATGTAGATAACTAAGTGAAGGTAGGAAAATTGATGTTGGGGTCTGTTTTTATGTATCATAAATAGAAATAAGAGGGCCAAGTGAGAAGGAATATGCAGCTGAAAAATTAAAGTAGCTAACACATGGTGCATACTCTGTGCTATGCACTGCTCTGCGTGCTCAAAGTACTCCTACAACGGCCCTACCGGGCAGGTGGGAACAGGCACAGAGAGGCCAACAGGTCTGCCCAGGGTTGACAAGGGACCAAAACCCAGACTGCCCGACTCACTGTCTGTGCTCTTTACCGACGCACAACTCTAAAAGGACTTCTTAAGCAGGTCTTTGATTATTTAAATGAAAATGGAACTTGAGGGAAATTAAGGCAAAAATATTGAAAAGGTAAAATCTTCCCCATTACAGTGTTTTTGCACATTTATGATCAAAGCCAGTTCATTCCTAAAAAATGAGATAATTTTTGATGACCAAAATGCTGCATGTTACTAAGGCTTGACGCCAGAAGTAAACAAGCACAGTTGTAGAGAGTCCTGAGCAAAAAGGGATGTGTGTCAGGCCAAAAGAATAGAGACAGCTTTAAGGAGAAGCTTAAAGTCTTCCTCAGACTGTAGAGCACACAATTCACCATCTCTTAGAACGTCTTTGAACACATTTCCGCTTGAGATAAAAGGTCTCAGCCTCCTACCTGCATACCCAACTAGGGAACATAGTCTTCTCTTAAATCTCTGAGAAAGATTTCCTTGTTCTGCCAGGAATTTAAGTATGTTAATATTCTCGCCTCTCCACACAGCCACCTACAAAAAAAGGAGTTTCCAGGCTCAAAGTTCTTTCTTGGAATAAATCCTAGCCTCATCCCTTGTGTAGCCCTGGCTGAAAAAGGACTGTCTTCTTTTTGCAAATTAACTTGTCTTAGGAACTGTAGTTAAGAGCTCATAGCTATTCCACAAAAGAAATTTGGTTCCTGAACCAAGTAGAATATGTTAAAATATGGCAAGGATCAGGAAAGCAGGTAGTACCAATGAGTAGAAACCAATGGCAAGTCATAGAGGAAAGGAGGTCCCTCCCCCGATTCTGTTATGGCTGAGTAGTAGTCAGTAACAGAGGCTCATGTGCCCGATTCAGGCACGAGGGATTGATGGGGACTAAGTGCCCAGTGCTTTGCCAGAGTGAACCAGACAGGCCCCATCTCTGCCCTTGTGGGACTCACAGTCTAGTGGGAACAGCAGTGACAATGTGTGACAAGTGATGTGCTTGGGAACGGAGGACTGGTGGTCCCGTGAAGATGATTGGCGGGTCTGATGGTGGTTAGCATTTGGGGATTCCTTCTGAGGGTGGTACATACTTCTAGTAGAGTCCAGCTTCCTGTGCCTGGGCTGCCTATAGAATTAGAGGCTGTTGTGTGAAAAGTAACATTTGGTACTATTGATTTAACTTGATGGCTTAGGTGATTGTGGTAGACTTGGAAATTATAACACGCTCTTCTACTTCAGCTTGAAACCTAAAACCACCAGTTTATAATCTTTATTTTCTTTTGTTTTTTGCTAAAGAAAGAATCTGTACTTTTTCATCATTTAAAAATTTTTCTTCCTCATTTTCATTATTTTATAGTATAACTGAGAGTTCTAAAATAATAAAAAATGAAATATTTTTGTTTGTTGTTAGAATTTCTCTGTAAAGAATGTCCAAAAATCCATATTCACATCGATCGTATAGACAAAAAAGATGTCCCGGAAGAACAAGCGTATATGAGAAGATGGCTTCATGAACGTTTTGAAATAAAAGATAAGTGAGTAACAACAGTTCTAGCACTTCAGAAACTTTGGTTCAACTAAATTTCACTATAGTAAATGATTTGAAATGAATGTAAACAGGTTTATGGTGTTAAGAATGCTCTTTATGAACTCATGTCAAATCTTGTTCCATGCATAATCTGTTCTTGTTTTAAACTCTACCGTTACAAGTCACTGTAAAAGAACTCGTTATGGGAGGCCTATCTGTTTTCGTTTATAATATTTCCTAGACTATACTCTGTGGTAAGATATAAAGTAAAAAAAAAAAAAAAAGCAAGACACACAAAAAGCTTTCTGGTGTAAGATGGCCCACATCTGCCCTCTCAGGTGATGTAAAGTGCTGTATTGTTTGAGGACTGGCATCATGCCATCAGTGCGTGGGAAAGGAAGGCTGTGAGAGGGAGGATTGTGTCTGATGTGCGTGTGGAAATGACACCAGTATGTTTGTTGAAAGAGGAAGGGGCAGTTGACATTTTCACGAACAAAATATCTTTTTGCTGTTAGTATTCTTGGGCCTAAGCAGTGTCTGGGATTGGCCTTGTGTGTGTCTGTGTTAGTAACATTCGTTTGGAGCAGACAGCGGTGTGAACCTTGCCAAGAGCTACCTGTGAGTAAGCAAGTGGCATGTTCGGATGCCTCTTGGGTGAGGTGTAGCTTGAAGAGGTCAGACCGAGTGAGTGAGTGAGTCTGATGGGCCACTTACTAAAGAGTGCGCTGGAAGCAGCAGGTGGCATCGATAAAGTAGATTATTCTCTCTTTTATTTAGTACAAATTTCTAAAAGAAATTTTTAGATTTTCTTTTCTTTTTAGGAAGATAAAAAAGGGGTGTTAGGTTTAGATATGATATTTAGAAATTGAATTTTCTCAGTTGAAAACTTCAGGATATTTATTTACTTTTTGTTTCACTATCAATGGCAGTTTTATTCTTTCTGATGCATGTCCTATTTTTTGAAAGCTATGTTTTAAACATCTATACTTTTTATCCTCTTTTTGAAAAAATGGATCCATTAGTTTTAGGATGCACCATTTACTAAGACCACATTGAAAAGTACGGCTTTTTAAAAACTTAAAAAAATACTTCCAAAATTATGTTTATGTTCAGAAATTTTACCCATGTTTTATTCTTCTAATATGCTTCTTCTCAGGAGACTGCCATTGTTCCTCCTTTGCTTGTTGTTACAGTAAAATATTTCCCAATTAACCCTCCTGGATTAACTTTAACAAGTGAAAATTATGTAAAGTATACTGTGTTGAAAATGAAACTTTATAGAGTTTATAAACAAGTAGCTAAATTTCTGTATTTCATTGACTCTCAATTGTACACGACAATTTATTAAACAAATCCTTCAGTGCCACCCACTTTTGTTATGGAAAAAATTAAAAAAGTAAGATCTGTGGGTTTTGACGTGAAAATTTGTTCTCAGAAAAAAGCCTGAACAGTAATATCCAATATATATATAATATCCAATATATTGGATATTAATCCAATATATTTTGTGTTATAGGCGTTTATATATATTTAGGATGAGTCTGGACATTTTAAAATGGTGGTTCTCTTTGGGGAATGTGATTTGTAAGGCAATATAAGGACTAACACTTTTTGTGCTTTGTGTTTGAGATTTTTATATTGAGTATGTTCTGCTATTATAACTTTACATTTTTTAAATAAGCTGGGAAAATGAATTAACTGTGCTATTTTTTCCTGTTTTTACCTGCTTTTATAATTCCATGCAAATAAGGGCTTTTTCCGGAAATTTCGTGTATGTTATAAGAGCTGCTGATGTTTTCTTTGACTTCTAATGGAATGGGAGCTGTGGGAAGAAGGAATAATAAGGATTGGGGAAGGTGGAGAAAGGCTGAGATGGTTATTACCTAGGTGTGAGTCAGGTCATTACAAAATTTCAAAGATCTAAAGTTTGAAAAACAAAAACATCCCCATAAAATTACTTAAACCCATCTGTTTTTAAATATTACATATAATACAATTCATACACACTAATTATAGAGCAGATTAAAGATATTTTTAAGGTCTAGAAACTCCAATTAAACCAAGTCTCTGGTGTTTCCTTATTCATCTTTATTTCCCAAGGACCTGTAACTTCTCCAGTACATAATAGGCACCCAAGAGATATTTGTTGAGTTAAAATATTGAAATGACTAAACCTGAAATTTTAAAGTTTTTTTTTTCCATTCTGGCCGTAGGTTGCTTATAGAATTCTATGATTCAGTGGATCCAGAAAGAAGAAACAAATTTCCTGGGAAAAGTGTTAATTCTAAACTAAGTCTCAAGAAGACTTTACCATCATTATTGATCTTAAGTGGTTTGACTGCTGGTATGCTTATGACCGAGGCTGGAAGGAAACTGTATGTAAAAACGTGGATTTATGGAACCCTCATTGGCTGCTTGTGGGTCAGTATTAAAGCGTAAACAAGTGGCTGTCTCCAGGCAGTGGACTGTGCTACGTTGTTTGTCATTGGCAGCTGCATACTGCATCAGATTGTTTCCTGAATTTAGTAAGAAGTGTAAATAAAGCCTTACTGATTGAACATTGGATAAAATAGAATTTCTGACTAAAGCCAATATGCTGTTGGTCTTGGGCAAATACACACGATTTACAACTTTAGTACAGAAGCTGCTGGAAAGGGAAGAGCTAAACAGAGTTTATGCTATACTTGGCATTTCCTGTGAACTAATGTCAACTTCAGAAGATTATTAGGATTGGATAATTTGTTATTGTTTTGTAATTCAGATAGCTGCATTCATGAACATTAATTTGCAGTGTATTTCACTATATTATTTTCAATTTTTTCCAACTTGACTGGTCCAAACTCTTATCACTAAAGTATTTAGTATCTTGCAGCTATGTAATATTTTGCTTTTTGCTCAATTTCTCCAAGTCAATGAAAGAAATTGTATTTAAGTATCAAGAAAGATACAAGGAAAGGGGTAAGAAATGTTGGTGGGGAAGAAGCTCTGGTTAGCGCATGCTTTCATTGTGTGGCATTGTCAGCTGATTTCACTTTATATTTGCAAAGTAGTTGACATTTCTAATATTTATTGAAACAGCTTACTTTGCACACTTTGTACCCTATACAAAAGAATAATGTATAAAATATGAGAATTAAGTTTAAGTTAAAATTGTGACCCTGATTCATTATAGCAGAACTTTAAATTGCCCAGCTTTTTGAAGATTTAAGCTAAGCTCTTAGTACTTCATAACATCGGTGCCATAAGTACTTGAAAACCCTAAGGTTTCCTATTATTTTTTATATCAGAATAATCAGTGTGAACCTTTGTTGGACCTGAGTCTGCAGATATTTGATTGATGGGAGCCTTCTGATGTCTGACTAGATTTACTAACATGTGCCTTTGGCCTGTTACTCTTGGGTTTAGCAAAATATTTAATCCAGAAATCATGTTTTATGTCATCGTGGTCGATTTCCGCTGTATTCGAGTTCTTTTCCTGTGGATTAGGGCAGTGGTGCTGCTCGGTGGCCGGCACAGCAGACTTGCAGGGAGGAAGCACGTGGCTGGCCAGAGTGTGTCTGCTGCAGAGCTGAGCTCTTGAAGCTCTGGTGAGAGAGCATCACTGGCTGCCGCAAAGGCCAGTACAATACAGACTTGATCGTCAGGACTGAGTGAATTGGTTTAGTTCCCCTTAGTTTTAATGGGATGTACAGTTAATCTGTGTCACCTCAAAACAAGGGCCATGTTTCAGGAACCACATCACACAATTTCCAGTCATGGAACAATATGTCCTGTGCAAAAGGACCTTTTTTAAAGTGTGATCTGCTCTATTTTATGTTATAATTTGAACTTGATTGCCTACGAGTAACATTTCTGCTTACTGCTAATGGATTTTTCTTGCAAAATTGTATCAATGGTCCAGATGAAACACACTAATTGAATCATGATAAACAAAATGAAAATAGTAGTTAAGGGAAGTTTTGTCTAACTGATTCTCCAGAACCAGAGAGTAAACCATTTCACGCCACACCTTTGAAGAGGTGGGTGGTCTGACTTGGTTTGTGTGTGTTAGTATGTGTATGTGCTCATACATTCATATACACACATACCCACAGGATGCAGTTGGCCTAATGATGACTGGGGGTGTAGGTAAAACTTCTGAGAAATGTTCTCATGCCAAATTACAATTTTCTATTACCTGTAAAGTGAAATTTGGGTCAATTCCCTGTCTTTGTTAAATACTTTTTTTAGCAGTCCTAAAGTTAGAAGCTATTTCTAATTATATCAAAGGAAATGTAAGTTGTGTAGCTTACTTTGAATATCATGGATATTCTCTAAATTTAAATTTTGAGAAGCAATACCATTAGAATTATGTGGAGTATAACTGATTTTAAGAAGGCGAAGTGAATTGCATAAGATCACTTGAACATCATGTTCTTATGACTATACTTATATTCTTCTCACAAAAGGTCTATAAAATATTTATTAGTTTAAAAATTTTTGTATCAAAATATTTGGAAAATTAGAAGCTTCTTTTTAATTTGTATTGATATGACTTGAATTATTATTTTCTAAAATTAAGAGCCCTATATCTACTTGTAAATCTTTTCACAGACTATCATTTTAGCTTTTGTTTGTGTTGTTATTGTTGATTTACAGCTTTGTTATTACTTAGTTTTTCTTTATAAGAATGCCATCAATGTGCATGCTTTTATGTTTTTCAGAAAAGGGTGTGTTTGGGATGAAAGAAATAATAAAATCTTTCACTGTCTCTAATGTCTGGGCTTTTTAACATTTTGCGACTCAAGAATTCACCAGCAGTTTCATATTACACAAAATAGGCATCATGGCTGGCCCTGCATTCTGAATTTATAAAACTGTAACATTTTTTCTTAAGTATTGGACAAATTTTTAAAAAATATATTTTTCATTGTTAGTGCTATGAGTGATTCTGACTCCTAGTGACCCTGTGGACAGCAGAGCTGAGCCCTGCCCGGGCTTTCTGCCCCATGCTCTCACCCTCCTGCACTGTATCACACAATGCTGTTCATAGGCTGTTCATGGCCATTTTTTTGGAAGTGGTCGGTCAGGTCCTTCGTCCTCGTCTGTCTTAGTCTGGAAGCTCTGCTGAAACCTGTCCACCCTGGGGGACCCTGCTGGTATTTGAAACACCAGTGGCATAGCTTTCAGCATCACAGCAACATGCAGCCGCCATAGTGTGACAACCGACAGACAGGGGTGTGGTTCCCTGACCGGGAAACGAACCCAGGCCGTGGTGGTGAGAACGCCACATCTTAACCACTAGACCACCAGGGCTGGCTAAAAAATAGTTAACATACTGAAAATTGTGAAGCAGTATATTCCTTTGGTTATATAAACTCACCTGTGTATTTTATAAGATGTATGGCATGCGTTAATTGCTTGACAATTCTGTAATCATTAGGAGATCTCACTGAAACATGTCAAATACCTAAAATTAACCAGGTTGATGAATAAAGTGCCAGTCTGTCTAATCCTTACATCATACATACTAATGATTTCTTTCATATGTTTCATTTCCATGTGAATTTTTTGTTCGTTTAGAGTGGTACCAAATTTTCCTTTATATCCAGATTATGTAAGCTTTATTTTTTCCTTTGTAATGTTACATGGTTTATAATTATATTCACCAAATAGATCTATGTCAGTAAAGTTATCTAAATAGATTGACTATTAAAAGAATAAAAAAGAAATATACATAAAATTTGCCCATCAAGTATAGACGCAAAGTAACTGCCAGAGACATATCAGACTCGTGTTTGAGAAGTCAGAGAAATGTCTATTATAATAATAATAGTATTTTATGTGTACAATTGCAAATGTCTAGTAAAAATACATTTTAACCTTAATAATATTTGTTCTTGAAATATTGAGGAAAAGGTTGTCTTGGCAGATATTCCAGATGCCACCTTATAGTGAGTTACAGATCTTTGTTTATAAACAAAGGATTTTGGGCGTGGGAAGTTTGGGCCAGTTTTATTATGAGTTACACATACTTCTAGATTAAAGATTGGCTCACTTGGAATATTATGTTACCATTTAGTATAATTGGCGTTATAAACAGACTAACTTAAGCTAACATCCAAGCGTTAGAATGAAAATTAGTACTTGGTCAAACTGCTTATTTGGAAACATTCAGATATGTTGGAGTGCTGTCAATATAATCACTCATTTATTTCAGTTTAGAGCAGTTATGACTCAACATTATCCCCAGGGTTTCGTTTGACACCTTTTCCGCTTTGCGGATGATAAAGTGAATCCATTGCTTTTACCAGCGGGGGCGGCATTCTGCGGGTAGTCATGCATGAGGTCAGAGAGACAAATACCTGGCTACGATCGTGAGCAGGAAAAGTGATTTTCCAAAAGGCCACCCCCAATGGAAAAGCTCAGTTACCTGTACCGGATCGAGGAAATTGGGTACGTGAAGCCAACTGTCCATAAACGGTTGTCGATGGTGACGAGGCAGGTCAGGTATTCCATCCCAGTTGGTAGTGGTTCATGGTTTTCCATGTGAATACGTGAGAAGGGCGTGTTCTACAACTTTACTGTTACAAACCTTTACATCTAAAAAGAAAAGACGCTGCTGCTGACCTTCTCTGTGTGTGTGTAGCAGGAGAGAATGACTAACAGTCTTGTCTCCTTACGGTGCGTTCAGAATCAATTCTGACAAGTTCTGAGTTCATTGGTGCTTTATTTAGCAAAAAAAGGAAAATATAAATCTCAAAGGTTACTTATTTGGTGATACAAGATCTATTTGGTGACAGTTACTTCATATATGTGATAATATGTATATATGTTTTATATATGTATATATGTTGTATTGCCAAATATAGCTACAGAATACTATGTATTATTTTAAAAGTTCATTTTGGTTTGATCCTTGCCAAGATCTGTCGGGTGCTCACTGTATGTGGGACAGTGTGCTCACCTCCCATGGGCGTTCTCTCATCTAACACTCATAACACACCTTGTGCCGCAGGGTAGCTCGGCCGTTGAGAGGAACACGTCTGCAGGCAGACTGCCAGGTTGTGAGTCCTGGTTCCACCACTTGGTATTTGGCCTCGGGCAGGTTTGTTAAAGTTCCTGTGCCCCAGTTTTCTCACCTGTGAGATGGCAGTAATAATCGTGTTTGCCTCAAAGGCTGGTTGAGGACTCAGCAGGTTACCGCAGGTAGAGCACTGTATGTCGTGCATGGAATGGAGTGGGGGCCAAGTGCGTCTTGTTCTTCACCTTCTCCTCCTGTTTCCAGTTTTACAGATGAGGAAATTGAGCCTCAGGGAGCTTGAATAAAATACACCAAGTCACACAACTAATGCTTCTACCAGAAAAATGCGCTCCCATTCTATTCTGCTTGACAAAGATACAATGCAATATTTCAGAGTACTTAAGTGCCTTTAAAAGTGGATGGTCATAACTATAATCATAGTTATTTAAAGATTGCAGGCTTTGTTTAAAATCTAAACCAAACAATACAGAGATTACAAAAAGAAAGATTCTCCATCTTTCATAAGAAGATCTCATAGTCTCTCCACACCGATCCGTGTTGATGCTG